TCACTGATGTCTCTATGCCTCCTTAATTTTAGTAGTCTTAATCAGCTATTAATGTTGCCAGAATTTTGTATGTTAATGATGTGTAATGAGCAGCTCTGGAAAGCACCAAGGATCGTCAGTCAAAATAATATGGTCAAAATTATATTTGTGCACATAGTTGCCTTTTGAAGCAGGGCAGTGGGTGGCAGTTTGCTGTGCTTGTGTATTTTTAGGTTAACAGCTGCTTTCTGAATGCCTCCAGGGCCTCAGTGGGAGCCACTTCCTTGCACAGGGGCGAGACAGCACTTCTCAGTTGATCCCAGCAAAGCCACATTGCCTGCTGGCTGCTTGGGACAGTGACAGAAGGATTGTAGTAGCTTGTGACTGGTGGTGCAGAAACAGGGAACCACTGTCTTGCCAAAACCAGCAGATGGTGGTGTCCTTCCTCTGTGGGAGGCAGAGTGTCCCACAGAGTTTTTCCAAGTGGAACCCATTGGCTTGCAACCAAGTTGGGTTCTTGAGTGTGTACAAAGCTCTCAGCTTCCACTGAGCTTGGCACCCTTTTCCTTCTTGAGCCTCTGCATCTACTGCAGGTAGCAGTGGGATGTTCTTTATGAGAGACAAGAATTTTCATGTCCTCACCCATGGATTTAATTTCTTTACATTTCTTTACATCCTGTAATGTCTTTACATCCAAATCTGCACAGACTTTTCTTACAAAAGTAAGGTCAAAGGCAGGATGTTTTTGGAGCATCTGTTATCTCGTCTGTATTACCAGGAAAGCCAGGGATGCCCACTTTGAACTCCTACCACATGCCAAAGCATAACTGCTGAATCCTTGAGATCGTGTTCCCTGAGATCATGCTTCTCAAAAATGTCTTAAGAAACTACCCTATTAAAGTTATTTCTTTCACCTTTTATAGGACTATTATGCATTTTTAAAACCTTTTTTTCCACACATGAATATTTTGAGATTGTATGTTTTCATTGCAAAGATTAGTAGGAAAATTCTCCTATTCAAAATTTTACTGCTGCTTTATCTAAAATCATGGTTCTTCTTCCCTCTGTTCCCCATGAAAGTAGGAAAGTGTCAATAGCATTTTGATATGTTTTGCAATGCAGATGTTACAAAATATCGGGGAGTTGCTTCTAGTGGATAATCTGTTATGGTTATAAATATGCTGCTCCTTTTCAAATGAATCAGTCCACTGCGTTTTGTGCTCTTTCAAATATACACTTCATCATTTTAGCTCACTGTGTAACCTTCACAATTTTTTCAGTAAGTGAATCCAGGTTTGATAATCAGTAAGAATGTGAAAAAAAAAAAAACCCATAATAAGTCAGTCCTGGGTACTTCTGGGAGTAAAAATTGATAACTAGCACTTTCAGAAAGCTTTTTAGCATTAGAAAGTCTTAAATTACTTTACAGAGGTTAAGGTAAACACATATTAACAGATATTGGTGGATTAGCAGAGTCAAAAAATCTTTGTCAGAGATAGCAATACAGCCTTATTTCTTATGACATGATTTTCAGGCTGTGAATTCTTCCCTGCTCTGTTTTTCTTTCCAATTTACTAACAAAGAGTGAAAAAAACATGGATTTAGAGTAGTGCTGGTTTAGAGCTGATTGAAGTTCTGGGATTAAGACTCAACAGGAGAACCCCAGAACTTGAAAATGGTGTTGAGAGCAGATCACTCACCCAAAAAAAACAAAGCGCCTCCCCTGGACAAAGCACTGAGACAGAGAGGTGTCTGAGGGTTCATGAAAACTGCCTGTGCACTGTGGGGGGAAAGGGTGCTCCTGGTGGGGAGTGAGAATGATGTCTGTCTTGTGCCAAGCTGCTGCCTGCCCACAGGTTGGCTGCCAGTAGTTTACAGTGCTGTAATGAGCAGCTTAAGGCAATTTAGCCTGCCCTGATATTAAAGGGGCGGTGCTGCTGTTGTTCTTGCTGTGGGTTGTACTCATCCACTGCTCCCCTACCTTTAGCTCCAGAGACAGTATGACTCACTTGCAGATGAACCCAGTGGAGAAAATTAAGGTTATTTCTCAGTTAGATCACGTGCCGTCTTCACATGTAGTAGCTTATATAGCTTGTGTCCCTCATGGCTTTTCATCTGCTTTAGCAGAATCAGGTTGGACCTTTTTCAGGTTTAACACCATATGTGCAGTTTTTCAAGTCTTGTTTATAGAGGTTAAGGGCTTAATCAAGCATCCTTCTGCAGAGCTTCAGTATTACTTAGTACTTCTCTAGGTATTCAATCATTACATTGTCCCTTTTTAATTCATGGCATTCTTGGGGTTGCTTTCAGTACCGTTTCAGCTTATGCCATGGCTTAGTTGTGACATCTGTCTGTTTTATGTGGATTTACTTTCTGGCTATTAATTGTAAATTTATGTTAATTAAGAAATTAGCATCAGTTCATCACTGTTTATGATTTTTTGAATTGATGTAAAAGTGACTATTTCCTCTGTTTAATTATATGTTTAATTTCAAAGTTAGGTAGAACAGACCATACCTAAAATTAACAGTGAGGAAACTTAAAATGGTGTCTAATATTTTCATATGTTAGCATTTTAGTAATGCTATCAGTTATGGTGGTAGTTCTGTGCTCATAATGATAAGCAGCATCTGTCTGCAAAGTCTATTTTCTGGTCTATGATGCTGATCATTGCATGAGATTCTACCTTCCTTTGCACCAGAACTGTTTTATTCCTGGAAATGTTTTATCCCTCTGTCAGTGAAAGCAAATAAACTTGTCTCTTCCCACAGAGTGGAGTGGGTAGGTGGTATTCATTGGAAATGATGTATCACACATGGAGACAACCATGGAACTGAAAACCACACAGAAGAAATGTGTGTGCACTCTCTCTCTCTCTGTATATACATAGATATGTATGTGTAGGAAAGCTGAAAGGATCAGTAGACAGAAAGCTTAGTCCTGGAATACTGACTTACTGCCCTAGTCTATAGCACAGCACTACGCCATGTTTTAAGACGACGACAAAAAGCCATCTTAAGAAGGTTTACTCTTTCTGCTTAGGTCAGCTGATATGTCTAAGGCCTGATGACCACCCAGCATGGGGTGAGGGTACTTGGATGATTATGGAACTGTAAAGTGTGACTTTACTAGGACAGTTGTGTGCACATTGGTATAGCAGTTTATCATTATGGAAATGCTAGTGCACCATAAAAGTTTTAAGAGAAATTCTGCACATCTGGAGGATGGTTATGGATCTTGTGGAAGGTATATTATCTTTGCTATGTTGACTATGTGTTTTCTGTCGAAACAGTCTTTTATTTTATGTTGGTGGAGAGAAAAAAAGAGAACAAAGAGAAGTAAAGCCTTCATCTGCAATCACACACTTTCCTTACAAAGTTATTTCACAAAATACCAACCATCCTTCTGCAAGGATATAACTTGGTATATCTTATAAGTGGGTCTGGCAAGGGGGACGAAAGGCTATTCAGGGATTCACACTGCATTGTGAAGACCCAGAGGAATACTGGAAAGCAGAATGCTTGCCCAGACTATTTTTGTTTCTTGCTTAGGGTCTGAGAAGCCAACATGTAACCGCAAGTGGATGTTGGCTAGGCATGAGTAAACTCTGGTTGGAAGAAAGAAAAAGGTTCCTAATCTTTGCATATCCTATGACAGCCTTCCAAGAATAGCCAAGTCAGAGAAAGATCTCTTGCTTTTCAATTAGAGCAACCCTGTGATTGTGGGGTAGTTTGTGAAGTTACAGGTTCAAGAGAAGGTGGGAGTGGAAAGTGGCAAGTGGGCAAAGCAGCTGCTGCTGGGGAAAAATCGAGGGGAAAGCACCTGAAACTGTAACAATCAAAAAGTATGAGATGAGAGCTTAGGAGCCAAAGAAGTGCTAACTTTGGGGGTCAGGTGCATTGGGAATGACCGTTACACAAATGGAAAGCATGTGGAGGCACCAGGGCTGCCAGTTACTATTCTGTATTGAAAGCATGTAGGCGCACAGTCAATATTTAAAGGCATTTCTCTTGTTGAATGCTTTCAAGTTAAGCATAACTACTAATCTTGGATATTTAGAGATAATTACTATGTAATGATGAGCATATATCTGAAATTTCCTGACATTTACAGAGTATTTTACTTGTCAGGAGTGGTTAAATAAGGATTAATATTTCTGTTTTGCAGTTATGTAGTGGAGGAAAAGAGTCTGAACTGGATGCTAGTGGTCATACAGGAAATCTTTGCCAAACCATGAAAAGAACCTAAAACTTCTTGGCTTCTTGCCATATGCTAAATCCATTCACTGCTCTGTTTTTCTCTTTTTCCCTTGAAAACTGAACATTGTCAGCTCATCTTATGATAGAAGAGTAGCAGGTGTCCAATGCAATAAACAAATCAGTAAAAGCAGTAGTAGTACACTCTGAGATCAGAACCTGATCTTAAGCAGGTGAAATCTAAAAGGAACTTGATCATGTTCATGAAGTTTGTTTTTTATCTCACTATACAATGAGTTTCTTTATGGTAACGTTTTATATTTAACTGTATGGTTTTCCAAGGCTGAGATATGGTTGCTGATTTCAGAGGATACAATGATGATGAAGTCTCTGTTCTACACCACAGAAGAAATAAGAAGTTCACCTGCCTTGGGACTTCGTGGAGGTTTTCATGTTAGGAAGTATTTTGTTTGCTAAAATGCAAACTGCAAACGCAGTCAGAAACTTACTTGTGTTGTTAGGCACTTGAATACCTTTAAGATACACCCACGATAGATTTCCTTTTAATGCAAGTTTACATTTGTATTTTCCTGTCAAATAAAGTAGTGAAAGGTGGTGTAGTTAGAGAATTTATGTGTTTTTCTTTGCCATTGTGGTGGGTGATACTGCAGTTTAGAATAGCTTTTAGATTTGCATAGGAGAATATGGGTAGGTGTCAGTATTTTCCTGAGCATTATCACCCTTTCATCCAATGCATGGTGTGGTAAGATAATCAGGAAAACATGAACACAAATATTGACTCATCTTTTTTGTTTTCTTCTCTAGGATTACGACGGATTTTTTGAATCAAAGGAGAGCAACACTGTCTTCTCCTTCCTTGGACTGAAACCTACTTTGGCATCAAAGGTCAGTGTAGATTTCTCACGGAATTTTTGAGATAAAGTGAGATCGAATTTTCTTTGAACCGAAAGAACTCTGCGTTTGACACACAACTGCCCTGATCCATACATTGTCCATATCAGCTTCATGCTAACAAGGTAATTGAAACAGTTGGCATGAAAAGCAAAGCATTTTAAATGAAACCAAGCATATACAGGGGAGTTAATCTGAGACAGCAGATAAATGAATTTTAAAGAATACATTCTCCTTCACATTATCAATCTAAGTTGAAAGCAAGTGACTTAATTACTACAGGAGACAGAACTAGGATCTTAATCACTGGAATATCTGCAGTTCATGCCATCAAAACATCATTTTACAGGGCCAGCCTGGCATAATGGCTCAACCAGGCCATTTATTCATTAGGCATTAATGTATCTTTTAAGAAATGCTGAAATGCTGAAGCAGTCAGGAGTTACATCAGCTTTATGGAAAAGAGTTCAGTTTTAACAAATACATATATACAGGTCAGGACACAAAGCCAGATAACATCTTTCTATTGAAGGCAGTATAATAAAGGAGATTTTATTGCCATATGGAAGCCTGGACACTTATTCAAAGAGACTGTATGATGCACCTTTTGACAGCAGATCAAACACATAGGGGAGGATTTTTCTTCCCTTGACTACTGTGGATACAGCTGTGTTTGGTAGTAGTACTGCCTCAGGCCCAGAAGGTAGCTCCTGTACAGAGTTCCTTTTCTGCCAGGAATTAATTTATTTCTGGACTCCATGAGGGATGGGGGTGGGAGGGAACCTCAGCAGGGCACTGCAAAAGCAGGTTATTTTGACTGCCTGCCTCGCTTTGTAGCTTGAAGAACTAGTCCTAAGAAAAAGCTGATGTCCTACTGCAATCAGAAATAGCTTCTATGTAGCTCTGTTGCTATGTGTTCTAGACATGGAGGAGTGTCTCTATAAACTTGGCCAGATGAGTCTGGTAGTACTTCAGAGTGATGAATCCTCAGCTGCTGTGTTAGGACCAGGGTTTAGGGGCACCTTACATGCAAAAGTCACAGACATGGGAGAGAAGCATTAATGATTTTTTTCTTTTCCTCTTTTCTTTCAAATAGCAGTCGGAACCATAGAAAGCCTATCTGGAGTATCGACAAGCACATCTCCTGGATGAATGACCCTGTTCTTCAGCACACAACAGCTTCCCTAATGGATCACTGTGATAGAGCAAACATGCATCATTAGTAGTAGTCTGCTTGCCATGAGGCGGTGCTCTCCAACAATGTGGAGTTAATAACACATATGAAACGGGATTAAGGCTGGGCTACTCACCTTCCTTTTTAAAAATACTCGCTGTTGATGTTTCACTTTTGTCTTTGGATTGCTTTTGCAACTGGCACTGATATTCTAAGAGACAACTGTGTTTGAGAATAAGGAGTGGAAGTGTAGGGCTTCTGTTGTTCATGGATATACTAATGTAGTCAGATTCCTTACCTTTTTTAATTCTTCCAACTACTGTAGTTGAAGTTAGGTTAGCTCCTCATGGTAGTTAAAATGCTAATGATTATTAGAATGTTTGTGCTGGTTATGGTCCAGAAGGTAAAAACTGTCAATCTTAAGATCTCTGCGTAAGCCAATAACTGCTGTATTTTTGCTCTACATTTATTTATTGTGATGTTTACGCTAGATTATGTTTATCATTAGAGACATGGGCTGCTAACCTTGTTCTTGGAAACTCAATTTGTCCAATGATGCACATTGCGACTGACTGTTCAAAACCAGTTGTTATTATGGAGAAGGTGCCAAAGTGAAATATTTTGACATGATTCTAAATGAAGGTGAAATATGCAGGAAAACACTTGATGGAAAATACTGAGTAGTTCAGAAGAAGAGATCTCATAGCTAATGATAATATTAAGTTATCTCTTAACTGAGAAAACTTAAATCCAAAGTTGGAGCTCTATAGTTAGACAGTCTTAAAACGAAATTTTGCCAAATCCTTGAGTTTACCTTCAGTAATACACAGCTCCACCATTACCCACATGACAGGAGGTACTTTCAAAGCCAGGGCTCAGTCCCATGGATGGTTAAACTCTGTATCATGGAACAAGAGCACACCTAACTCACCTATCTGTTATCCTGGTTGTATCCCCAGGTGTAGAAATGTGGAGGTGCCTCAAAGACAGTGAGAAAGTTAAGTGTGTGCTCTGCTGGATGAAGCCACCTTGGTCAGCTCAGATGAGGAGCAGGAGTCAAGTAAAGGACATGGAGATTATTCCAGTGGGACTGCATATAGTAGAACTTAGGCCCGTGACTTGCCAATAACCATTCCAAAATGCATTCTAGACAGAAGTCAAACTACGTTATGCACTTTGAATCAAGTCTGGCTATGAAAATAACAGCTATGCTGTAATGTAGCTTTTACTGAAGTGATTTCATAATGACAGGGTAGTGCCATTCCAATAAATGTCCTTATGTCTCTGGGTAAAAAAAGACAACCATTATGTGAAAAGCTTCTTTGCAATCACAGCATTACTCAGACTGTGTGGCTTGAAGGAAGCCAAACTCGTAAAAAGTGTCAGAAAGCAACACTGCCTGTGCAACAAATATTTGACATGTTCTGTTAAAATCAGTGACCATGGCATCTGGGACACGTTAGTTGGAAGGGACAGCTGGAGGTCATCTGGTTCCAGCACTGTCAAAATCCAGGATAACACCACGACTAGCTTGGATCAGGTACGAGTTTGTCTAGCAAAGTGTTAAAAATATCCAGTGATGAAGACCTCATAATCCACTAGGTAACCTGTACCAGTGCTGCAGCACTTTCCTACTGAAAACTTCCTTTTAATGTCCAGCTTCAGCTCCAAGGCTGTAATTTGTGGTTGTTGCCTTTGCTGTTTTCTGGCACTCACAGGAAAAGATTGGCACCAACCTCTTTGTATCTTAAATTAGTTGTAGGCTACCATTAGATCATCTATCAGCCACCTTCTTACGAGATGAAACAAAACTGTCTTCCTCAACCCCTCTTCACAGGATGTGTGCTTTAGGCCCCTGGCTGCTGTGCTTTGGTGGAAGGCTATTCTTTCCAGTTTGTTCACATCCTTCTTGAGCTGAGAGAAGGTCCCAAACCAATATTGACCATGTGTGGCCAGGGGGAGAACGGCTTTCCTCAGCCTACAGGCCACACTTCTGAAGTCACGCACTGCATGCTTTCTCCTATCTGCAGTGAGTGCGTTGCTGGCTTATGATCAACCTGCCATTCACTAAAATCCCCAGGTCCCTTTAGCAGGAGTATTACTCTGTCAGTTGCTTCCCAGCTCATACTGATGCTTCATCACCCCTAAGGCAGAAATTTCTACCTGTCTTTAGCAAACTTCATGAGGTTTCTGTTAGCCCAGTCCTCAAGGTTATTGAGATGCCACTGGACTCAAGCTCTGACAGCTCTACTGACCACTGAACCAGGTTCAGGTGTCATTCACAGACTTGGTAAGGATGCCCACTAGGTCATCATCCAGGTCCCTGCTGAAGATGCTGAACAACAGGAGAACCATAGCCTATCAGATTCTGGACAACAGCTTATGACTACAGAGTCATGACATGAACAATGTTCATGACTTCCAGTTGCTACAGTAAAGAACGGGTTACCTTCTTGTTCATGTTGTCTCATCTACAAACTGCTTACAGTTGTGTGGCTTTCCCCTCTAGTACAAAGGCAAGAAAACTTTAAAAAATGAGATATTAAAGGAGTCCATCCATAAATCAGTTTCTCTTTGGGTCCTCTGGTGCCTCATCTACTCAGTTAAAGGGTTAGGTGGATCACACACAGAATTTAAGTCCATGGTTGTATTTACTAGTCAAAATCTTAGCTGCAGCACCTTCTCTACAGGAATTCTGGAAGGGAGTTGATAACATGCATATACATATATGTAAGTATATATCTATATATGCATGTGCATTTTAAAGAATTATGTTGTCTGTGGTAAGTTATTGTGATGTTCTTGTCACCAGTCCCATATTTTAATGAGGCTTGAAGCTCATTATAGGAAGGGAATGTGACATGAGGTGGAGCTGCATGTTGCTATCTTCACCTAATTCAATATAATTATTCCTAAAAAAAAAACTTAGAGAAAAATATGTATATTTTCAAATGAATATAGATATAATTTTACATAATTATGCAGTTGATTACAGAGAAGCCATCCTGGATTTATCATGTACTTGATACGTTGTAAACTTCGAGAACTGCCTGAAGTCCCAGTTTTGAAAGACTTACATAAGTGTATAAGTATATACACACAAGTAATCCTGGGCAAAATCCCAGGTTTACTGATGTGAAAGGCAAAAGCACACTGATTTCTCCAGGGATTAAATTAGTTCCACAAAACTCCTCTTGAATTTTGATAATTGTAGAATAGAAGCCTCCTGTTCAGTGGAGAGGTAGGGAGGTATACCTAGCTTATTCCAGAGCACGCATGTGGGCATAATCAATTGTATGGAGGATAACACTAGCTCCAAAAGTATCCTGCTTGCTTGCATGGATTGGCAGTGTAAGTCCCTTAGAGCATTTAAGTGGCTAGTTTAAAAGGAAAACCATATATATATATATATATATATACACACCTTGCTTGAATGTGAATTTGGTCTATTGTGCAACAGCCTTATTTTTGTAATTAAAGCAAGTAGAGTTCTAGTTTGTTACACAAGATGATGTGGGATTTTTTTAAACCAGTTTTGTAATAATGAAATGTAGCTATCAGGTAACTGAAAAGGTCTGTGGAAAATAGAGCCATTTATTGAAAGAAACCACAAATTCTTTATTCTGTTTAAAATACTTGCATATGCATATGAGAACCAAATGATCCCTGTTTTTAGCTAATACTTGTAACTACCGTGTGTTTTTAAAAGGGAGAGCAGTGTGAATTAAACTGTAAACCTTTGTACCTAGCTGAAGTTGCTGTGTGAGCTGATGTGCACGCACACGTTCACTGTATGAGTGGCTTTGATAGAGGTGTTTTT